TTCGATCATGCAGATTGATGGCCCAGGGCCAATGCAACTTACAGAAAACCCTATGGTCGCGATGGGTGAAAACCCTATATAGCTAATGGCGGAAAGCTCTAGTAACTAGCATGAGGCATTACTGGCACGTGTAGCCGAGCCGTCACAGCAACGAGCCCATACAGCGTGACACATGGCCGATGCTAGTGACCGTGTTCCGGGTTTTGGAGTTAGAGTCGACCCAGATGTTGGCGGAGGTCAGGAGGATTCGGAAGGTTCTAAGGAAAGCGGGTCTTCGGATGAGTCCATGCTTTCTCCCGTCAAGGCGGCGGAGACTATTAGGGCCTTCTTAAGAGGATCGATGTTCTTGAGACGCATGCGACGATCTCAGTCTCGGCTGTCGACAAGATGAACATTGCGGGTTCAAGTCGCTATAAGGCAAGGTTTGAGTTTGCTAAGCCTCCTAAGTTCTCGGGTGCTAAGACTCAAGATATCCGGGAGTGGCTTCAGATTATGGAGTCTTATTGCGTCGGAACCGGGGTGGTTGGTGATACTCTTCGCTTGAACCTCACAGTTTCCTATTCGGACAGGAACGCTTGTACTTAGTGTACTTATTGGTCGGCACGCGAGTCCGCGTTGCGTCTTGAGAGAGATCTTGCCGGGGAGCCTAAGATTCCGACTCTTAAATTCTCTGGGGACTCTATGATCACGGGGTTTGGGACTATTGACCCGATTCAGTCGGCTTGGGACCGTTTGGTCAAGCTTCGTCAGGGGAGTCTCTCAGTTGAAGAAAATGCTCGTCAGTTTGACTCCCTTTGCGCGGAGCTTGGGTTAGAGGGGCCTAGCGAGAACGATAAGATCGTCCGATTCAAGAGCGGCCTTCACCCCAAAATGCAAACCCGGGTGGTAGCCCAACACGACGGCAAACGTTGGACTAACTACCGCGATCTTGTGGCCTATGCTTCGATGGTGTGGAGCCACGTGGGGCCTACTTTGGACGCCGCGGGACCGGGCGTCGTGGCGAAAGCTGTCGGAGGTCCAAGTCCCACCTTCCGCCGCGACAAGCGCAAACACGACAACCCCAATGCCCCCTGTCAGCAAGGGCCTAAGGGAGCGGGCGGCCAAGGGCTCTCCAAGAAGCACCGTCAAGCGGTCAAGCATAACGGGCTTCCCAAGGCTAAGCGGGTGCTTCCGGACGCGTATCGTCAAAAGCTCCTCAAGGAAGGCAAGTGCTTGAACTGTGAAGAGAAGGATCACTTTGCTAGGGAGTGCCCTAACCCGCCTAAGGAGGTTCCTCAGGGTTTTTAGATCCGCAGGCTAGTGAGAGTGGGCCTAGTGCTGCGGTAGCGATCCAGTCGTCTCATAGGCTAGATCTAGGAGAACAAACATTCGCGGACTTGGATCTAGCCTTCTTGACAAGAAGTTTTTCTCCGGAGTTGTTCGTTCATCCTCTAGCCTTGCGACCGATTGGAATCCCACATATGCCGAATCCTTTAAGAATGGTATGCATTGGTTCAACTTTGCAAAGGCAAGTGGATTGCAACGCGCTATCTCAAACTTTTCCGACATACGCTTGAAGACCGAAGGGAGTCTCTCGGCTTGTGTGTTGGTAGCAGATTGTTGGCTGAAGTCTATTCGCCCTCTCTTGGTGGGTTGGCGGAGAGTCTTGTCTTTACCGGTTGGGTCTCAAGTTCGTTATGTCTCGGATCGAGTCGGAGTCGACTGACATTCAAACGGCCCGAAGTAAGACTCGGCTTTGGGTGTACTAATGTCCGCCCAAGACTCAGTTGATCGGCTTGAAGCTCCGGGTGTTAGAGTCGACCAAGATGCCGGCGGAGGTCAAGAATTGGGTAAGGGGTGCTTCCCATGCGACCGTTTCCGCTAAAAATTCACGGAGCCTTCCCGGAAGCATGTGGGACCTCGTGGTACCTAGTGTAGCGGATTTGTCATCACATGCGGTTCCAGGTACCGTTCCGTTAATCGGCGCCGGCCGGCATCGCGGCAGCCGGCCGACTGAGTCAGGCTTGTAGGCTGCGCGGCACACCAGCCGACGGAGGTACACACAAGGCTGCGCAGCCAACAGACAGTTTGTTGCAAAGAGGGCATGTACGATCAGGGCGCCACGAATCATGGACCCGTCAGGTATCATAACACTGGCGGTCACTACTGCAGGCGTTCTGCTGGCACTAGCAGCTATCCATGGCACTGTCATGTGCTCTATGCCAGACATTCTAGCGGGCCGCGTTGCTTGCACATCAGATGACCCCCTCTACTACCCAGATGACGAAGACGACAATCTCAGCATACTTCTAGTCCTCAACGCACAGATGGAGGATGCTGCAGCAGCAGCGGCTGCTCTCTGCGCTGAGGGGCTCCTTACAAGCGTCCACCTCTTTGGCATGAACGTTGGACAATGGTACATAAAGCCACGTTCGATGACGTGGTTTGAGAATTTTGTACAGAATGTGTACGACGATGAGCGATGGAAGAGGCTTTTCCGCATCAATAGACAGACCTTCTTATACCTGGAAGAATCATTAGGTGAACGCCTCCAACAAGCCCCTCCAGCTAGTTTGGCTAGAAGTATCCCCACTAGATTATTGTCTGTCAAGAAGCAACTTGTGGTGGCCCTCTACAAGCTTGGCCATGGTGTGTCCAATTTTGGGGTTGGCGAACTGTTTGGAATTGGTGAGAGTACTGTAAGCAAAGTATTCTGGAGAGTCTCTCAGGCGATTGTTGCAATTGAAGCTCCTCTGCGGATCAGATGGCCCCAAGAAGGGGAAGAACGCGCAGCTGCTATCGCTCAAATGCAGGCTGTTCATGGCATTCCAAACTGCGTGGGAGCGATTGACTGCACCCACATCAATCATGATGCGCCGGCAGGGTACCTGACAACAGATTACTTTGATCGAGATCACAACTACAGTACTGTGGTACAGCTGGTAGGAGATGTGAGTATCTCAACAAGCCCCTGACTGCTCCATTCTGGTTCTTATGAGTGCTTTAAGGTATGTTGCGAGCTGCCAACCATGCTGGAGTTGTTTCAAAGAGCAAGCAAAGGTGTTTGTTGACGAGAACCTTTTGCACCGGTGTACGTATGTGGTTGGCTAGACCATGTAGCTTCTTGCATCCGGTGATCTATTAAAATGCAGTTGATGCGCAAGAGGTGGCTGCTTGTGCTCAAGAGGTCGCTGCACTGTACAGATATGACCTTCTGGTGCTTCGGATTTGCCAACTCATCAACTTTGTGAAAAGTGCTTTCGTGGGAGCAGTCATTGCATGTCTGGCTAAGCCTTCAAGCTACTTTACTAGACTTACAAACGGTGATTGCTTTGAAGCTGGTTGTTCTTGAACTGCCATCTGTGTGTCTCAATTGTTAGAGAATGTCTGAATATACGTGTTGATGGAATCGAGTTGCGCTTTGTCTCATGCATCTATGGTACTCCTTCGGGATTATCCTTGCCAAACGCTTTAAGACAATGCAGTTGGTTGAACTCCTGAAATCCTTAGAGTACAAATGGACCTGCGTAAGCTGTGGTGCGCGTTTCTTTTCAAGGACAGTATTTCATCTCTTCCTGTGTTTTGCTTTCATGCAGCAACAACACCGCATCCTGAATGTGAACGTGGGTTATCCCGGATCTGTCCACGATTCTCGCGTCCTTTTCAACTCGGAGCTCACCACCAATACGGAGGCTTTTCTCAGAGGTCCTTCCGTCAACGTCAATGGGATTGAGGTACCTCAAATGCTCGTAGCGGATGCCGGCTACTCATTGCAGCCCTGGCTTATAACCCCGTTCCCGGGTCAGAATCTGAATCCCACTCAAGCTGGATTCAACTTTAAGCACTCCAGTACGCGCATGTGCATCGAACAAATCAACGGAGAGTTGAAAGGGGTTCAACGTTATCTGCTCACACGGATTCAAAAGCCCAATATGAAACGACTGCCTATTTATGTTGTAGCTTGTTGCACGCTGCACAATCTCAGGATAGACATGGGCGACGGTATGGAACGTGCAGCTAGAGCACCAGATCCAGACGCAGGGCAAGCAGTACTAGGTGGTTCTGAAAGAGCTGCGACAGGCGCTAGGAACATCGAACGGGCCATAGACATCAAAGATGCCATTGCCGAGTATTTAAGCGAGAGAGTCTAATTCCGTGATTATACGATCCAAGTTCTTGAAAGCATCAAATGCATGGGTCATTTGACGGGAATGTTGCCAATACGACAAGGTTGTATATCTGGAATATTTCAGTCTGCATGGGTTCGCGGTTATGCAACTAGGTGGTAGCAGTGTAACCTATGCAAGTGGGCATGGATATGATTCATAATATTGCTACGAGTATACAATCTGGTATGTAGAAAAACAATGGCATTGAAAAAGATAATGGCATTGATGAATCATGTTTCAGTGGTTTCACCATGAGCGAGCTATGGTATATTGTCGATTGGGTTGTGCCTGGCGGCGTCTCTTGGCTTGCGCTCAAGAGAAGATGGTTCAATTCCAGCAACAGCTGGGGTTGCAGGATTGCTTGGTGGGCTCGGGGTTTGGACAACTGTCAGATGGGCCCGACGTCGTATGTTTGTCTCGCCCATGCAAATGCATGGGGCTTGAGGGTTCGTCAGTATGATGAACCGGCCGGGCATCGGAAGTGGAGGAACGGATGGTGGGCGGTTCAAAGGGAGAGGTACGGTGGATATCGAGGGGTTTTCTTGCCCCTTCTTATTGCTCAATGTTATGCTCCAATGAGGGCCGGGAAGTTCTTCGGGTACCACGTAATTTCTCTCCATGCATTCGAACATACATGTGTATACATGAGCTTGATTGACTTGCCAGTGCACGACCATTCAATAGATGCACGAGCAATAACGCCTATTTGCACCTACACGCAAGTCCATAGATAGCTAGGCGCACTTGAACGATCAGTCAACTAAGTAGTGTACGTAAAGAGCGGTTTGGATGTATGTATTGCAAGTCATCACTTGTTTTTTTCGTGATAAACCGCGCGCATACAGTGTGCTTATGAATGCACCACTGAAAAGCCGGATTGCAAGTTCTACTAGTCAACAAAAGATTCGCATGCATACAAGACGCCATTAAATCCATTGCCCTATAGTGCAGGTGCATGTTTTGCTGCTTGCATCTTTCATCGGGATCATAGATTATTATCCAGCTGACAATGATCTCAGTAGTGGTTATCTTAGCCAATGATAATTTGTCTCAAAACCATGAGTTAATAGTTGCTGATAGGGTCCAGAGGAGAATGCAGGAAATAATATCGAATAAAATCATCATTATTACTCTACCTCCACTTCTGGACTACCTACTTATTGGCCAAAACAATAACGGCTTTGGCCAAGTCCCCCAAAGCTGCTATCAAACCTTGACCCGTTTGGGCCGCCGTCACCGCGCCCTTCTCAACCACCTTCAACTTCTCTTCCTCTAGCTTTAGCTCCCTCTCTTTCAAAGCTTTCATCTCTTTGTGACGAGCATCTTTCAGCTGCTCACAATCTCTAAGCATACTATTCGTGTCAGCGTTATTCGCTCTCAAAGTGTCACTCAAACCAGCTGCAGATCTGTCCCGCTTCAAACCTTTCACACGCTGGTTTTCACCTGCGCTTTGCCCACGAGCGCCTCCCCTCATGATTCCTGAACTGTCTGAAGGTGCTGTAGGGGTCTCTTTATCGCTGTCGTCTTCGTCCTCGCCCTCTGGAGTTGCAGTCTGATGAGCCCGGCCACTGTCGTACACGAAAGGGGGCTCGACACTGGTTCTCTGCTTCATCCACAGCATGCTGCAACAAGACACACATAGTCAGTGCTTTCCAAACTCCACTACAGCCTGAAAGCTAACCCAATAGTGTGTTTTCAACGGCCCTCATATCTTCAAACGTCTGGCTAGTTAAGTATACATGAATGCAGAACACTGTGGTCACATGTACAGTCATCATATAATACAAATGTCGTCAAACACATCTTGGCTGGCCAGGGAATTCAAGCTGACCAAAACATCTCTTTACCTAGAGCACCACAACCAGGACAGTGCCGAAGTGGCCATCATACTGTGGGTTTTGAAGAAATCAAACAATATGGACAAATCTACAAAAAGCTTTATGGTACAGACTTTTTGATGCAAATGAAAGCTTTTTGATGACAATGAAACAAACATCCAACTCGGAGTGGTCCAAAGAGCAACTTCAAGTTAAAAGCCAAGCCAGAAAAGCCTGCTGTCCGTGGACCACCTTTGAAGAGTAACCAAAGGCCAGTGCCACCACATGATGTAAGCAGTCTGGATAGAATCGAAAGATAAAATTGAAAAAGCTAAGCAATTCGCAGTGCCTCTGACCGGCACTGAAAGCACGATCCCTTTCACCATCGCTTGCACCATTCTGTGATTACAAGGTGTTGATTCTTCTTCCATTGGCTCAAAGGGTCAATGAGCTTCAGTTCAGTTTTTTAAACGCTCGCAACCTCGATTGCAACACCAGTCTATTGGATTGTCCTGAAACCTGTTTATCAACACGAAAGATGTCCGCCAAGCTTGACTTGCTGCTGGTAGCAACAAAGAGAGTCAGATGCAAACATACTTGCCTGTCAAAGAGAGCTTTGGGGAAAGCTGGGGGCATCTTCTGGTCCTTCTTCATATCCTGTGTCATGTTCCAATACGAGGGCTTCCCACTTGGAGGCTGCTTGTCCCAGTCGTACACCTTCTTGAAGTCGCTCGTCATTCTATCCCACTTGTCTTCAATCTGGCTGATTGTGCGGTGCACTGGTGGATTCAACTGAGATAAGCGCTCGCTGATCATGGTGAATCTCTCTGCGCCGCTCATTGTTCTATACTTGATGCCCGTGCTCGGATCCAGCAGCATGTCCTCGTGTATCTTCATCTGAGCATTCAGCATGTCACCTTCATACACCGACCAGTTCGTTCTGGTCTTTTTTCCAGTATTGGCAGGGGCCCCTGGCAAGACAACAGTGTCACCTCCTGCATCGACCTCAGATTGCACTTCAGCCTGTAGTCCCCCAAACGGAGAAGCTCCCGCAGTCGGAGCCTTTACCGGCGTAATGAAACCAGTGCTATGCTGTGCAGTGTGTACAAGCTGGGCCTGGTGCAACTGATGCGCAAGTCGAGCAGACACAGCTTGCTGGAGTTGCTCGACAATGCTGACCAATGCAGAATTGTCAGAGCTCGGGTCCAAGCAAGCCAGCTGACAAAACTCAGCGTTCATTACCATCTCGGTAGCGATCTGGTGAGGGTGTGCTTGGACAAAATTTGAAGGCTCTAGCTTGCTAACATAACCTACAGCATGGGGATATAATAGCATTGCCGCGTCCATATCGGAGAACGCCATAAAGCCTCCCTGCCCGGGCCACCCTGTCCTGCCTCGCAAGCTAGCTGCCAGCACCGTTCAGTCTGCTTTGCAGCCTGCATGAGGCGAGCCTGGCAGCTAGTGGCACGGTGTGGGTCGAGGTGCCAGGCATATTGGGGGGAACGAAGCGACCCAATGGGGTGTCTCTGAAGTGCCACGGTGGATTGTAACGGAGTCCGCTACAATCTGTGGGATGTATACGGGCAGTTTACAGGAAGCGGAAATCGACAAGATGTAGCGGAAATTTGCGCGCGAAACAGGCTCCGATTTAGCGGAAAGGGTCGCATGGAACGGTGGTTTTCTCCGGTTTCCGCTAAAAATTGTCGATAATGTACCGGAAACGGTCGCATGGGAAGCACCCCTAAGTCACATGACCGAGGAATTCTCGGACTTCTTTGTTGACCCTCTTCCAATCATCAGATCCGGATTTCGGATGAGGACGTGGTAAGACTGCTTTCCGAACACCTTTTGGTCATTTCCAATTCAAGGTCTTGATAGAGGGGTTAACTAGCGCTCCGGCGTCGTTTCAGACGGTGATGAACGACATCTTTTGAAAATACCTTCGGGATTTCGTGGTCGTTTATCTTGATGACGTCTTGATCTATTCTAAGACGCTTGAAGAACATCAGCGGCATGTGCGGCTGGTTTTGAAAGTGTTGCGAATAGAACAGTTCTTTGCTTGCAAAGCTAAGTCGGACTTTTGGAAGGACGAGATTAAGGTCTTGGGGCACATCGTCAGCGCGGATGGCAGTTGGGTGAACCCCGCCAAGGTGGCCGCCGTTGCCGATTGGCCGCCTCCAAAGAACGTCCACGAGCCTGGTACGTTCCTTCTTGGGGCTAGCTAATTATTTCCGCAAGTTTCTTCAAGGTTATGCGAAGCTTGCTACACCTCTGATTGATTTGACTAAGAAGTCGACGGTTTGGAACTGGACTGCAGCTTGTCAAGAGTCCTTTGAAGGGATTAAGTGGGCGTTAACGAATGCTCCTCTTCTGCGGTCACCTAGGTAGGATGTTCCTTTTGAGGTTGTGAGTGATCAATGCTTCGATCACTGGTTTAGGGGCAGTTCTTCGTCAGGACGGTCAACCTGTTGCTTTTGAAAGTCGAAAGCTCAGCCCGGTTGAAAGGAACTATACTACGACTGAGCAAGAATTGTTGGGAGTGGTGCACGCCTTGCAAGTTTGGCGATGTTATCTGGAAGGTAATGACTTCACGGTTGTGACAGATCATAACCCAAGTACCTATCTCCAGACACAGCCCTTGTTATCAAGGCGGCAGGCCCGTTGGAAGAAATTTCTGCAGAGATTTGACATTCAGTGGCAATACCGGCCTGGCCGGACTAATGTCGCTGATCCGTTAAGTCGCTTTCCGGTTGGTCCTGCCTTGGCCGTCATTACTCGGAGCTGCAGAGGTGTGGGTGGCATTCTCCGGAGCGGCCACTCTGACGCGATTGCCCCCTCCACAGCGCCTGCTAAAGGAAGTAAATCTGTCCTCCCAGATCTGGCCGACCCTTTGCGTGCCCAGATATTGGAAGCTTACTCCACGGATGCTTGGCTGCGAGATGCAAACAGTCAAAGCGTTCCACCACTGGAAGTTTCCCTTGAAGGGTTTTGGCTACAGGGCATCAAAATCATTGAGGTGCCGAACGGCTTAGGAGTTCGTGACTCGGTATTCCAAGATTTGCACGACTCAAAGTATTCGGGCCGATTTGGTGTAACTAAGACATTCAAGGCAGTGGATTCAGTCTTTTGGTGGCGCCCACGCTGAAAGCTGAATTCTTGCAGTATGTTCGTTGAGATGTTGAGCTGGCTTGATTGAGTGTTCTGTGGTTGAGCTGGTTTTGAGATATATAAAAGGAGCTGGGTTGTTGACTTTTGGCTCACCTTGTCGGGGGGCAATCAATTAGTCTAGATACCTTTGCTGTTCACACTTTGGGCAGTTCTGGTTTTTGGTTTCTCATGTCGAGAAACAATCAGATATGCTCAAAGAAGTCCTGGTATGAGACACATGTTACATTGAGCTGGTTGGTGAACCTGTGACTTGGAATCATATGCTTATGTTCTGACGTGTTACGAACATCGCAGAATCGATGGAGACTGAGGAGAAGCTTCAGGAAATTGAGCTTGGGGGTGATGTAGATTTTGCCGAGAGAGAGAGTGTTGCACATGAGAGAATCGATGAGTTGAATCACAAGGAGAGAGAGCTTGAGGTGCGGGAGCGTCAGCTCCAAGAGGTTTTGCATGAGAAGATTGTGGAGCAGCGCTTGCGTGAGCTCCAGGGTAAGAGTCATGTTTCAGCTGAAATGTCGTCCCCTCGTCATGTTGAGACTTATTCCTTGCCAAAGGAGGATAGAGAGGTCCTGATGGCTGGTTTGCAACAGCAAATGACTGAGCAGCTTAAATCTTTCGGTGAAAGTCTACTTGCCGAGTTGCTCCAGCAACATTTGGAGGTGCTTGTTACTCGTCCCGTGCTTTCAGTTCTGGTTGGCAGCCCGGCTGCTGAGGCTTCCGTTGCTCAAACTTCTGCTTCCTTAGATGTGTCGGAATCTGGACTTATGGGAATGCAAACTTCTGGTGGATTTCCTTCTTTTCACCCTGGTTTGACTGCATCGGTGAGTCGTCCTGATGTAAGCGTTTCAATCTCATCAGGGAGTGTATTATCTACCTCGTCAGCGTTTGCATCTGGTGGTGCACGTGTGTCACAAGCTGTTGGTGCTTCCAGGGGGACATTTCCAGCCACTGCGGCAACCGGTTTTGGCTCAACCATATTTTCTGAGGTGCCGCCAGCAGTGACGTCAGCAAAGGATCCCCCCTGGCAGCCTGGTACTTCGTCGTTTGTGTTTGGGGCTCAGAACCCCGCATCGTCTACAACTCAATCTGTTCCTCAGTTTACAGGTCAAAATACTACTTATTCGTCCGGCTTTGCGAGTTACGAGGCCGCCGCTCCGTCGCCACAGGGTTTTGCTCAGAACATGATGTCCCCGGGCTTTTTCACACCTGCTTATGTCAACCCGGGTTTCGTCTCACCTATTCCGTCTCAGGGTGCTGGCTCACCCAACTTGCAGATTCTTCCGACTTTTGATGGCACAAGAAAGGGTCTGACTGCACGGTCCTGGCTGGTGACGGACCTTGAGCAGGTCCGTGCCTTGTACAATCTTTCGGACCAGAAGATGACCCCATTAGCTCGTCTGCGGTGTATTGGCAAAGCCCGTGACTGGGCAGAGATTCAACCTGAGCATCAATCTTGGGAGGAGTTCAAGTCCGCATTTCTGCTTGAGTATGGTGAAAAGAATCAGAACAAACTCTTCTTTGAGATGATCAATCACACCCAGGATGACTCTTCTGTTGGTGAATACGCAACCACAATGCAGCGCTACTTTCGTCAGTTGACAAACGTGACCCCGGAAAAGCAAAAGGAATACTTCGTCAGAAACTTAAAAATGGGTCTTCGTGAGAGTGTGTTTGCTGCCAGTCCGTCGTCCCTAGCACAGGCTATTGAGATTGCTCGTCGCGTTGAGGACATGTATGCAGCTTTGCCCGGCAAGCAGGAAGAGCCCGGCACTGAAATCCGTAAGCTTCGGAAGCAGGTTGAGCTCCTTTCAATTCAGAAGAAGCCTGCCCACCTTCGTATGTTACCTCGTCGTGCACCTGGTCCTGCATAGCCTGCTATTCATAATTCTGGGCCACAAACTGACAACGGTGATGCAGGCGGCTTTGATCAAAGATGCCTGGCATGCAATGATCCTAACCACGTCGTCCGGAATTGTCCGAATCCTCCGAAATATCCGTACTTCTCTTGCTGTGGTTTCTGGCGCAGGCACAGGGATGAGTGTCCCGAGCTCGGCAAGATGCAAGCAACACACGCTCAGAACTTCCTCGGTGCTAACATCAATTTCCTTGAGCCTAGTTCTCCGGATTCTGCAGGTCGCCCACCGGAGGAGATCGTTGCGTTCACTGACGATGAATCTGACGCCTCGTCTGACTCGTCTGGTTACGAAAGCTCTGACACAGAATCTCAAAACTCTGATCAAGAGATCTTTGCAGGAAAGAGAAGGCGAGAACCAGAGCCAAGGCGTGAAGCGGAGGCACCGGGTGGCGCGAAAGCGCAGAAACGTGACGTCAACCAGCTTCCTCGCAAGCGTGAAGCCGTAAAACCCGTCTTAAATCCTCTTTCTGCAGAAGAGAAGCAAAAACGGAAGAAGACGCGTGAGCGCAACCGGGAGATCAATCGCGAGACCAACCTCGGAATCATCCGTTCACTGCTTAAGGGTGTTCAACAAGATATTGCCGCTCATCGTAACCTGAAACATTTCCGCACAGATCTGCATCACCACATCGACAAGATTCTCTTCCACAACCGGGAGGAGAAGAAGGCCGTCCGTCCGCCGAAAGTGGACAAGTCGTCAAGTTCGTCTAAGCCGCCTGAGTCTCTCTTCGCAGACAAACAATCCGAGGTGATCCCGAACTCGTCACAAGACAAGACACAATCGTCTTCCGAATCTCGTTACATGCACATCGAGCTTGAGCGTGGTTCGTATGGTCGGAAAGAATGGTATGACGTGCCTTCGTTTCCTCTTCGGACTCAAATCTTTGCTGAGGTTGAGGGCGTAAAAATGAGAGTCCAGCTTGATTCTGGTGCCACGTTTTCCGGAATCTCCCGGGAAGCTGTGGACAAGTGTGGTTTGGCCGGCAAAATCAAGCCGACCCGTATGACTTACAAAACTTCGTCTGGTGAAATTCGTCCTGCCGAAGGCAAAGTCCGTGTGCACATTCAGGATGAGCGCCTCCGAGTTACTTCCACAATGCTCGTCATGCCTTACGGTTGTTCTTACAATCTTCTTCTGGCCAATGACATCGTCGGTCCCCTCACAGGAGATGTCTGTCGTAGCACAAAGCATGTGAAGTTCTTCTGGGCGGGGAAAACCATCCTAACTCCTTTGTTGCATGAGACGTCTGATGATGACGTCAAAGTCCGTGAGTCGTACTTTCTGACCGTCAACCAGTTGTCTTCGGAGTGCCAAGATTCAGACGGTCCAAAGCCTGTGGCTTACATTGATGACCCGCCTAACTTCGTCGTGCTCGATGGTTCAAAAAACGAGTAGTTGACCCTCCTCTTAGCTCCGGAACTTACAAAGTTGAACCTAAACGGGGGCCTGTTTTGAAAGGAGTTAAGATTCGTTCCGAGAGTGACCTAGAAGTCTGCCGTTCCTGGATGCGTGCCAACAAGTTGAAAAACGGAAGAATCAAGCACATCTTGAAGCATGCCAGGAAAGCCGTCAACAATTCTGCCGTCCCTGATTTCGTTTGGTTGTATCCTGAGGGTATTTCCGACCCTCCGATTAGTCGGTTGCGTGTTCAAATCGAGCTCGTGACTGACAGTGTGCAAGAAATCTATTCGGTTGACACCACTTCGTCTAGTGCACCAGAGTATACAGCCGAAGAAGTTGAGAAGATCATAAATACCATCTCGTTTGGCAAGAATTTGTCGGAGTCAGAAACAGAGTTGCTGCAAAACGTCGTAAAGAAAAATATAAGAGCTTTCAGTCGTTACAAAGGTGATCTCGGGTTTACAACTCTCATTGAACATGAGATCGATCTCGTCAGTAATACTCCGGTCAAACTTCGTCCTTATAAGCTGTCCTTTGAAGAGCAAAAAGCCGCAGCAGTCGGAGTATGTCGCTGAGTTAATCCGTGAAGGACAGGTTGTTCCAAGTAAGTCCCCGTGGTCGAGTCCTGCTTTTCTCGTCCCAAAGCCTGACGGTTCTTATCGTTTTGTCGTCGATTATCGCAAGCTCAATGAAGTCACGCGTTCCTGGTCTATGCCACTGCCTTTCATGTCTGACTTGCAACAACAGTTGGGCCAGTCCCGTTACTTTGCAACAATGGATATTGCGAGCGTTTTCTATAACGTTCCTATGAAAGCTGAACATCTTCAGTACACAGCATTTTGTCTTCGTAATCTTGGCCTTTTTGAGTGGCTCGTTATGCCAATGGGGCTGAAAAACGCCCCGGCCACCTTTACTCGCCTGCAAGAGTTCGTCTTTCCTCCACTCGATTGGTCTTCTTTTCTGAAAGTTTTCATCGATGACATGTGCGTTTTTGCTAACTCTATCCCTGAACTTGCGCGCTTCCTCGACCGTGTGCTTTCTCGTGTGATCTGGGCCGGTCTCAAACTTGCACCCAAGAAATGTTTCTTTGATACCGACTCCGTCAAGTTTCTGGGGCATATTATCTCTAACGGTCAGATCACGATGGATCCGAAAAAGGTCGTGGCAATCCGTAACCTGCTTCCCCCCGAAGATAGACATCAACTGCAGCAAGTTCATGGGCTCTTTCAGTACTACCGAGTTTTCATACCTAAGTTCGCACACATTGCTCGTCCTATGTCCAAGCTGCTTTCGAAAGATGAGCCGTTCGTTTGGTCCACTGCTTGTCAGGAAGCTTTCGACTTTCTGAAAGATGCACTGTGTTCGTCCCCTGTTTTGGCTTGTTACGATCCTCAAATTGAGTTCGTCCTTGACACAGACTACCAGCAGAACGCTATTTCGGCTATTCTTGGAATGCGGAATCCTAAGTACAGGCAAGAACAAGTCATCGAGTATGCTTCCCGCACACTTACAAAACAAGAACAGCGCCTGCTGCGACCGAGGGAGAGCTTCTCGCGGTCACTTTCGGCCTTCGTCGCTTTTCCGTTTATCTTCGAGGGCGTCCGGAATTCGTCTTGCGTACTGATCACAGGGCTCTTACCTGGCTAAAAACTCTTAATCCAACAACCGGGAAGCTTGCCCGTTGGTCATACCTGTTGCAGGCGGAATTCAACTTCCGAGTTGAACACCGTGAAGGGAAAAGTCACCTAAACGCTGACGCTTTATCCCGAGCTGTGGCATTACACTTGAAACAACGGCCGTACTTAGAAAAGGATTGATCAGACTGTTTTTCCTCTTGTCCGTTTTCAGCCTGGCTAATCTTTCCTAGTCTCTCTTACAGTGTTCAGAACATGGCCTCGTTTGGCTTGGATCAGCATATGAGATCGTCATCGTCAAGTCCATCGTCGTCTCGTCACCCGTCACCCGCTTCGGGAAAGCGGAAATCGTCCTCTCAAGATCTTAGCGACATGGAAGGTGAGCCAACGTCAAAGAAGAAGCGGAACTCGTCCATTTCGTCTCCTTCGTCTCCCGGTAAGAAAAAGAAGCATGTGTACACTGAAGAACAAAAACGCCAGCTTCGTTAAGACCATTACAAGTTGCTTCACGAGATTGATCACTTTCAACGAACTGCGTCATTTCCGGAGTGGGTCAAATCAAAGTCTGATCGGCAGAATTTTAAACGAAAGGCAAAGCCGTTTTGTATTGTCGCGGACCAGCTTCACAAAAACTCGTCAACTCCAAATCGTCCTTGTCGTGTGTTGTGGGAAATGAGATTTATCCAATGCTGAAAGAGCTTCATGAAAAGGGCGCTCACTATCCAAAAGATCAAGGTAAGTTTCGTACTCTCGTCGAGCAACGTTTCTTCTTTCCTCAGATTTCTGAAATCACTCGTCAATTCATTCTGACATGTGACACGTGTCAAAAGGAGAAAGCGTCTAAGGCTAGTCGGACCGATAGGGAGTATAACCCGCCCCCACCGACTGATCCCTACTTCCGTGTGCACGTTGATTTGTGTGGGCCTTTTCGGAATCGTCTCAACAAGAAACGTTTCGTCTTTGTCTGTCTTGATTCCGTCACCAAGTGCGCGTCAGTCAAAGTCATCCCGAACAAAAAGGCTGCTACCGTGGCACGGGTATTTGAAGATGAGATTCTTGACCGTCACGGGTGTCCGTTCGAAGTCGTTACTGACCAGGGCACGGAGTTCAATGCAGAATTTTCTGATCTTCTAAAGGGTGCCGGTCTTTGTCACGTCCGAGTCCGTCCGAAAAACCCACAGGCAAACGGTCAGGTGGAAAGATTCATGCAAATTCTAAAGTCCACCTTGCGTGCCACGTGTCACGAGCATCCGTCAGACTGGGAACGCTTCGTTCAGAAAACAGCCTTCAAATACAACGTCTCATTTCAGCAGTCGATCAAAACCAGTCCCTTCGTTTGTCTTTTTGATAGGCAACCTATTCTTCCGGCCGACCATGTGTTTCCGTCCGCACTTTCTGAGGCTGTGGATCAGCCCACGGCAGACTCTTTAGAGAATCAGGCTTCTTGTCTGGAGGCGATTCGGAACTTGCAAAGACAATCCAAACTTCTCATCGAACAAGCTCAGATCAAAGCGAAAGAATACTTTGCACGGTGGAACATTCCTCGTCGTCCCCGCTCAGATTCTCTTTCCCCAGGCGATTACGTCATCATGCAACGTCCCGGTAACATTCGCGGGTTTAAACTTCACTGGGAGGGTCCGCATCACTTCGACGGCTGGGTTGGAGAGGAACCAAACCGTCGTGCGGTTCTTCGAGATCAAAAGGGTCAAGTCCGGCAGCGCCCTAGTGTTGAAGTCCTGAGCTACCTACCTAGGGAGACATTCTTAGACAAATTCGTCCAACCTTTGCAAACAGAAATCGAAAACACTGGTCAAACTCCTTTGCCCAAAGCCATTGCAGGAGCTACGTTGCAGGAAGCAGAAACGATTCCGTCTGAACCTCCCTCGTCTCCTGAAATCGTCCTCATGTTCGATTCTGAAAAGCCTGCCGAATTTCCAAACTTCGATCCTACCTCTTCAAGTTTATTTCGTCCTTTTGATTCCGTGCAGGAGCCAGAAGTTCGACAGTCAACAATACCGAAGAAGAAGAGCTCGCGCTTATCTTAGATTCTCAAGGTTGAAATGAACAGTACTAACGATTCTGAATTCCCCCTATACAGATGTAGTACCAGTTGCACCAGTTCCGGTTCCGCCATTACCAGTGGTCGTCCCTGTTCATCCTCAACAGCAGAATCTGCCCGTCTACCAACGTGATCCTGACAACTGGGGCCGCTTCCCTGTTGTGCGGGACATGTTCAACGCCCTCTTTCATATCGTCCTCATTCTTGGGTCTACCTCCTCTTGTCCGCCATCCATTTTTGGGATGACCTCAGTCGGCCGGACCAAGTAACACTGGAGCAGCACGTTGTCAAGAGTCTTTGGGGAAATGAGAGGTATCAGCAGTGTCGTCAGAGGGACCCTCAGCTTGCAGTTTACCTCGACTGCCTAGAGGGAATGTTACAGGGTGAGCTCGCCTACGAAGTTGACGAGCTCATTGCCAGTGTAGAGTTTCATTGTCCCTCTCCCCCAAAGCAGGAGTTTGGTGTCTGGCTGGATCGTCTCAAGCCGGAATACACGGAAAAGAAAATTAGAGACGACCTCGTCTACTTCTGGTTACGGTTGGAAAAGCTACCCCGTTCTCCTATCCTCCTTCCTACCCACATCTTCCCTCCAGATCAAGTGCTCAATCTCGGAGCACCTCCGCCTCCTCCAAATCCTCCAGCTGGTAGAGCGTTAAGAGAGGAACGGGTAGCGGCAGGGATTTCGTCCCAAGCGCAAGCTGCGCTGCAGAGAATTGACTCGTCGAATCCTCCCCCTCGTCCTCGTCAACCGGCAGTGCCTTCGTTTGTTGCCCCTTCGTCTGTTGTGCTTCCTGCACAACAACCATCGTCTTCGTCTTTTGTGCCTCTGGCACAAACCTCGTCACTTTCGTCTCCTTCGTCCCCGGCTGCACAGCCACCGTCCCTATCGTCTTTTGGCTGCGCGCCGGCTCTCTCCTCGTCTTTACCTGCGTCAATTTTGTCTCTTTCCCCCTCGTCGGTTCTCCCTTCGTCTTTTCGTCCTCCTCCGGAGCCAAATCAGCCCCCTCCCCTCCTCTATCCACTTCCGCCTTCAACAAGCATTTCCCCCGCCCATCCCTCATTCCGCCATTCCGTTTCCGTTCCCACCCCCATTCCGTCCAACTGGGAGCTGATCGTGGAGCCGACTACACGCCAGCCGCTGCGCCGATCCATGTGGGAGGAGGAGATTCACATCATGGACGCCGTGCACGAGAGGTTCATCATTCTCATCATCAACAACCGGCCGCCTGATGGCAACCTCGGGGTTGGCCCATGTACGTCACCCAGTTTTACTTTCGTCAACTGGGTGACGTACATGGGCCAGTGTTTGGGCACGCGTCCTCACCAGAGCATTACGGCCACGACGTACTTTCCGTCCAGCTTTCCAAGCTACCCATGATGCTATAAAGACAATCTGTGCGGCGGCGCTATCCGATGCAACTCACTTTCATACACGGCGGAAGATAACGTAAGCAACTATCATAGAACACTGTGGGCATGGATGGCTGTGAGCATGAAGATAAGATCGATGGTTGTAAGCGCTTATTTGCTTGAAAGCTTCTCTCTTAAAGTAGGCCCGGGTCCTTCTTCTTTGCTTCCCTTAAAGTCTGATTTTTACCTAGCAAAAAGTAGAATCGGACTCTAGTCGAACACTATATACAATCTGATTGTCATCAGGCTTCTCTTTGACCTGATTCTAGTTCCGGAACTCACTTGGCACGCGTGAAAGAGTTTAGCTAACAGAGTTTCACGTGAAACTTACTGACGAGCCAATCAGGTCTCTGACACGCTGTACAACTTCATCTAACATTGGCTTCAAAAGTTAGTGCCGGGGATCCGCCGAGGTTACAATCACTAAGCACTCGGTTAAGTCTTAACTCTGTTAGTCGATTTCTACGGTAGCAACTTTTTGAGCTAACAGCTGTTATCTCACCCCCACCTTAAAACTACACGCGTCCTCGCGTGACTGTAGATTAGTGTGTTAATTGTGTATAGTGCATGTCCTGACCACCTTGTGTGCTGAGATTGTAATGTTTTCTGCGCCGACCGCGAGTGCGCAGTGTGTACAGTCATGCCGTAGACAGTGAGTAGCTAGTTTTTGAGGGGAGTGATTTATGAGATAACAATTACGCGTACTGACTTTCACATGTTCAAGCCGGGATTCCTTCAGAAGCTCAGCAAACTCTGCATTGAACTGACTTTCTTGATCAGTGACAATCTCAAAAGGGCAGCCATGACGCTCAAGGATCTCACGACGAAAAGCAGCAGCGACAAATTCGGGCTTTTTATTGGGAAGGATTTGAGTAGCAGCAAACTTGGTAGAGAAATCCATAACAGCCATAATGTATTTCTTCTTCTTGTTCTTTTCATCAAAAGGTCCTATAAGATCAAGATGGATTCGAAAGAAGGGACTAGTGGAGGAGGCGGATTCAAGTCACGATCGGTTCGAGCTTTCAGACCAGCGTTTTCATTCTGACCCTCGAGACAAGAAGAGATGCACTCGTTGCAAACTTCGACCATCTGAGGAAAGTAAAAACGCTGAGCAACTTTGGTACGAAACTTATGTTAATCCTTAGGATAGTGAGCCCAATCATTCTCGTGCAAGCTTTTTAGAACACTCTCAAGTTCATTCTCCCAAGGACACGCAAAGGTTGACCTTCTCACGTTTGTGAAGTTGACGGCAATGTGGATGTACTCTTTAGCCCTACGTTTAAAGTTCTGACGGCGGGTTTTATTGTCTGCAGAAGATGGCAACTCGCCAGTTCGAAGGAAACGATCAAGATCATGCAAGCTCTGGTAATGTTTGACCCGAAGAGCATTTTTATCTTCCTCACTATATTTGTACTTTCGTTTTGAAACGGTAGATTTGGCCGAGACAGAGGGATCAGGGGCAGTTTCATCCATGACAACCGTCAGTCAGCCGAAGATAAGATGCACGACAGATATACACACACCCCAAGTAGAAAAAGTTGCTGACCGCAGCAACAACCAAGCTACGAGTCCATATCAAAATAGTCCAAACGGTTCTCGGGTTCTATGATTCTCTTTAACTCGCGGTAAGCACTATCAGCGGCGATTCACTATCCTCTTCGGAATTGGAAGTAGAAGAGGAGGCGAAACTAGCAGCGTTCTGATTGACGGATCCCTCATATGATTCAGACGAAGCGTTAAGACCGGAATGATAAGGATTTAATCACCGTAAGCGGGGCGGACACTAACGTCGCTATGGCCAGTACTAAGGGCAAGGGTGGGTCGAGGAAGAGGATGCGAAGAAATAGAAGACCGAGGAGAAGTGGCTCAAGGATAGCGCCAAGATTGGGGGGCCTATAGTAAGCCAACGCGCGGGTGATATACGGAGAACGAGCAAAGAACGTACGCCAGTCTCGTTCAAGATCGGTTTGCGGGTTGCCAAAACGGTAAGGGATGCTGGTGCCGTGAAGGAAGTTATAGGTGTAGGGGGGCCACATAGCACGCAGCAAAAAACTGGAAGGAAAGAAAGAAACTACTTCAGAGGGTTCCGAGCTAAATTCTAGCATCATCCTCAAGATAGGTATGTTCAAAAAGATGAGAAGCAACAGCACGAGAGAGAGCGTCTGCATTCAAGCTAGTGGCTTTTGCCAGCGCGGTGCTCAATCTTAAAATTGAACTCAGCTTGAATCAGATACAAACAACGAGCAAGCTTCCCAGAGGTGGGATTGAGAGTTTTTAACCAAATCAAAGCTCGATCTGTTCGAATGATAAACTCGGGACGACCACGAAGATAAACGGAACAGCGTTTCGAACCAAAGATGATAGCCAAACGTTCGATCGCCCTCAGTGGTAGAGAGGCGTTGCTCAGTAGCATTTAGGGTACGAGAAGCATACTCTAAAACTTGTTCACGTTTTTGACCAGGCGTTTTTATACCAAGGATGGCAGAAATAGCATTCTTCTGATAGTCAGTATCTAAAACCAAGGTGTTGGTAGGGTCGTAACGAGTGAGGACGGGATACGAGCAAAGCGCATTTTTAAGGAACTCAAAAGAATCATGGCACTTCTCGGTCCAGACAAACGGGACGTTTTAGATAGGAGCTTGGTCATAGGACGCGCGATATGAAAGAATTTAGAAATAAACACACGATTATACTGAAGAAGACCCAGAACTTGCTGGAGTTGATTGACAGTGGAGGGGGGCAAAAGTTTTTCTACTGCAGCGGGTTTTAACCGGAACGCTAATCCGGGCCTTGGGGGATTCTGGAGGAATTGGGGTTTGAAACAGGTCACAAGGGGTTAAAAAGGACCATATACAATATAGGGGTTTTGCAAGCTTTACAATACGGCACCATATACTATGTAAAGGGTTTTTCCTACTCGGGTAACAAGGTGAGTATCTAGCATTATATGAATATATACAAACTGAGGTGCACTCTGAAATCACCTGTAATGTAAGCAATCAAGCAATTACGGTCATTCATGGAGCTATAAAGGAGGGGTGCACCTTGAAAATCACTTGTGATTTCAGCAATCAAGCAATTACAAGTTAACCACGGTGATACAGAGGGGCCGTGCATGGCGTAATTAGCCTACTTTAAGTAACGTGAGCAATTGACCGTATGTGGTGTATGTGCTCGGGCACTGTATGATCCATTAATTAGCCTAATTCGAGCAATCGAGCAATTGTACGTAAGAGGGGTTGACGAAGGGACTGCGCACGCCATAATTAGCGTAATTTGAGTAACACGAGCAATATGCCTTTCGTCGGTCATGCTGGAAGCCTTGTAATTACGTAATTCCGGTAATTTGAGTGATTCAGGGGTGCAATTAGCAGAATTGCTCGAATTAGGCTAATTATCATGGAAACCATGGGGAGGGTGCACCTGTAGGCTCTTAGCACTATGAGCAAGGGGTACACATACACCCTAGCCGGAGGAAGTCAAACATCTTGTAATCAGCTAATTTGGCTAATTCGAGCAATTGAGAAGTTGTAGTTAGCAGAATCGCTCAAATTACCTATTTATCATGGAAAACATGGCAGGCATGCACCATGGGTCTTGGTGTTTTGAACGAAGGAGAGAAGGAACATCCGAGGGATGTCAAAGCACCTTGTAATTAGCTAATTTGGCTAATTTAAGTAATTGTGAGAGGCACAGATTGCGGAATTACTCCAATTAGCTAATTATTGGGGAAATCATGGTTATGGTACTCCTGCCCGCACGCACTAGCGTGAAGCAAAGTGTTCAACAATATTTGAGGCCCGATGATCATGCTAAGTTTCAGTAGAAGTTCAAGCTATTTATGGTACAAACTCAAAGGCATAAAAGTGCTCGAAAAGACAATATAAGACGGAAACAAACATCCAGGGGTCTTTGGCTTTGCTTAAGGGTTAACCAATGGTAACCATGTTATAGACTACGTCCCGGAATTCCTCCAAAATCCCCCAAGGCCCGGATTAGCGTCCCCCTAGGTTTTACGTTTGCTCATAGTCATTTGACCATCACGTATAACATGACCAAGGAACTCGATTGAGTTTGTACCAAATTCGCACTTAGGGGGACAAAGGTTGAGGCCAGTCCAGATTAAACATTTAACGACACGGTCGAGATGGCTAGCAAGATCAGAAAGAGAGTCAGCGTAAATGCACATATCGTCAATAAAGATTTTAAGAAAAGAACCCCAATCCATAGGCGGAAAAATCATCTCTTGCAGGCGGGTAAAAGTGGCAGGAGCGTTCGTTAAACCCATGGGCATAACAAGCCACTCAAACAAGCCAAGGTTGCGAAGGCAGAAGGCAATGTACTGACGGTTTTCAGGTTTCATTGGAACGTTGTAAAAACCGCTAGTAATATCCATAGTGGCAAACAGTTTAGCACGGCCTAACTGATGCTGAAGATCAGACATAAAAGGAAGAGGCATGGACCAAGGCTTGGTGGCATCATTGAGTTTACGATAGTCAACGACCATACGATAAGTTCCAGGTTCTTTCTTGGGCACAGGAAACGCAGGACTAGACCAGGGAGACTTGCTAGGTTGAATCTGACCCTCTCGAATCAAAGTTTGGACATAATTGGCAGCATAACGTTGCTCATCAAAAGATTACTTGTAGGGCTTAAGCATGACAAGGTTACAGCGGACTAAATCGATTTCGTGCTCAATTAAAGTGGTATAACCAAGGTCTCCTTTACTACCACTAAAAGCTTGTCTGTTGTTACGAACAACTGACATGAGGAGCTCAGCTTCCTCATGCAAACGATTCGAACCAGATTTGATATCATTCACAATAGACTCAATCTCCTCAGAGGTATATTCGGGTTTCTTATAACAGCTTCTTGTGTGTAAATTTCGTGAGTAGAATCAGAAGAAAGTCCGATTTGTACGCGAAGAAGATTTTCCGGCGGTTCGGACAGGGACAAATGATGGAGCCAAACGAATTCACGAAGCTCATGATTTCGTAGAGCACTTCTAGCTTTGCGAAGGATCTTGCGAAGTTTGCCAGCTTTGAAACCATTTGATTTCAACCAACCT